GTTGTCACTGCGAAGATATGATGCCTAGTGCCAGCGCCAACTCTGAACACAGTTTGGTCTGCGGAGTGGTGTTTGTCCAGAACGGAGTACAGCCTTGAGTGCAAAAAATCGCAAACAGATTATATAGAAAAGGTATTATTGTAATTGGCCTGTAGTTCATGCTTTTCGCGGGGTCACCGGACTTGCGCAGAACAGTGACGACAGACTCTTTCCATGCCTGTGGTGGCAGACCCTGCGGCGATATCATGTCGTTGTACAGCTGCAACAAAAGTCTTTCAACTGCTTCGCCGCCGTCCTTGATCATCTCCGCCGTGACTACACGCGCGTCTTTGCACTTGCCTCGCCGGAGCTTTCGGATTTCTGCCCTCAGTTCGTCCAGCGTGAACTCCAGGACGTCTACAAAAGGAATAGTTGCAGCAGAATGCTTGGCAAGCTCGGCGTTTACAGATGAAAACAAATCCGGATAACAATCAGCAGAAACATTGGCGATGGACTGCCTGTCGGTATGGGTAGCACCAGCGTCGTCAACCATATGCGTCATAAGCTGCTTCCGCTTGACTGTCGTCACAATAGGGATCTTGTTGAAATCACGGAAGGGATCCAAGAGTGCACAAATCCTTGACGCGGCCCGTTCTCGTCGCCGTGCCTGGACTTCCCTCGATATCTGCTTGCTCAACTATGTCCTGTCCAAGGTTTGGTCTCGTCGTAACGCTTTCCGTTGCTCCAATAAGCACCGTAATCTGGACTCACCGTCGCTGCAAACGGCGTGGGGATGCCCCGGGCGGTTTGCCTGTTTGGTGCCCCCCCCCGGCTTTCAAAGCAGATTGTGGGGATGTCGCAAACGAACTATTTTTGAAATGGCTCAAGTCCCCCCCCAGCTTTCAGGGCATGTAGTGGGATGTCTCAAACGATTTGCCTGTTTGGTGGCCCAGGCCCCCTTGCTGTCAGTACATGTTGTGAGGCTGTCTCAGGCGCCCTAAGGGAGAGCTGCCAGGTTCGCGCCCAGATTGCTGGGATGCCTCAAGCGGTGTGCCCGTGTACTTCCCTGCTTCAGGACCGATTTAGGGGAACGAGGACTGATATAAACATAAAAAAGGTCCGCGCGGACCTCCGAGTTGTTATGGTTATGTCATTCTTAGTCCCCCTAAGATTGCAAGATGTCGTGGAGCAAGACACTGGCTTCAGAAGGCCAAGGGTGAGCCGTCAAGGAGCAGATTGTTCTGATGTCTCAAGCGAGGCGCTGGCTTCAACAAACCAGGGAGGTGCCGCCATGGAGCAGACCATAAGGATGCCTCAAGCGAGGCTGTCGCCTCAGCCCCCAAAAGGGGAGCTGCCAAAGGGTAGGACACCCGCCCGATCGCTGCCAGATTGTGGGGATGCCTCGAGGGGCGCTCGGCTCGTTTTGCACTTCAAGCTCCTGTCCATCCAGAGCTACCTGATTACCTCGATGTAGGGAAAGCACGGCCGCCAGAGAGGAGCGGACGTAGGAATTTGGAGGACGCAGGAGGAGGGAGGACAAGAGAATGGAGGAAGAGAGCGGAAGGGCCACGGCGAGGAGAAAAAGGAAGGACATGTCAGGGGGCCGCCAAGAAGGGGGGCGCTTGCAAGGGGGAAGAGGAGGGAGGACGGAGGATGAAAGAGGATCAGGAGGAGGAGGAGGAGGAGGAGGGGGAAGGAAGAGGCCGCAGGAGGTGAAAAAACGGCCGCCAGAGAAGATGATAGAGTACGGATGAGGAAGGAAGCGGACCCAGGAGGGAAAAGGAAGGAAGGAGGAAGAGCAGGGAGGGAGCACGACGAGGAGGAAGAGGAAGGATAAGCTTTCTCGCGCTTCAGCTGGGCCGTTCGTGGCAGTCTATCAGTTCCCCATATATGCTCGTATCTCGAGGACAGTCGCGGGTGGCATGAAGATCTCACTTGTCTCTACGCCGAAACGAGCGACACACGCGTCAATGCAAGCACCCCCGAGGTGGCCGCTGTCCTTGTTCATGTCCGTCGCCTCGTGAATCATATCGAAGATGTTCGTCTTCGCGACAGACAGCTGCTCAAAATCTTCAGGAATAATATCCGGATAGGCCATGCGCTCGTGTCGGTGCAACCCTTATAAATTATGCAAAAACTGGGGTGCGTCCTCCTTCGCCGGCAAGAGCTAGTTCGCTCCGTCCAGCAACGCGCTCACGAAGCGTGCGGGACCATTACGCCCCGAAGTCCCTGCTGAGCGAGCCGACCAGAAACTCCAAGAAGCTGCAACTGCTGCTTCTTATTTCGCCTTCTGGGCCTTATTGTCAAGATCGCGCCATTGGTTTGCTCTCCACAACCTCTCGATTCCAGCCGCTGGACTGCTGAGTCCTGGGTTCTCCTGGGGTAGTCCTCCATCGCTGGCGGTCCAAACCTGCCAATCGCTCGACTCTTCAGGCTGGTCAATCGCCCCTGGCTCCACAGCATTCCAAAACCGATTCGGAAACACATAACACGCTTCCAGCAAAATCGTCGTCACTCGAATCTGCGCCTGCCTCAGTCCCCCACAGGCGGCTGTCCTGGCTGGCCATCGGCTTCCTCGCTCCCTTGGCCGTGATCTTCGACCTTCACCTCGCTCCATTCCTTGGCCCCTTCCAGCAGCCTCAATCCTGAACCTTCTCACACACACACACACTGGTCCCGCCGATGCATCGGCGCCTGCCTCAGTCCCCACAGGCGGCTGTCCTGGCCGGCCATCGGCTTCCTCGTTCCCTCGGCCGTGATCTTCGACCTTCAACTCGCTCCATTCCTTGGCCCCTTCCAGCAGCCTCAATCCTGAACCTTCTCGCGCACACCGGTCCTGCCGATGCACCGGCCGCGGCCCGATCTCCACTGGGCTGGGCCTCCGCCCCTTCGCCCCCTGAGGCCCATCTCCTCCGTCAGTCGCTCGTCAGCCGCCGCAGCGCTTCCAGCAGGTCGTCCAGTCTACCAGCCCGGAACATATCCCTATCCCTATGTCGGGCATCGCCTCGTCACGATGGCGATCTCAGGGATTCCCTCGGTTTCGGAGGGCGTATCCCTCAGATTGTCGCCTCCTTTAGCGTGTCAATCTTAGGGATAGGGACAGGTTCGAGGCTGACCAGGGTCGGTTTCTGGGAGTGGGCCCCCGTCCACGGTCCCCGCCGCGTGCGGATCGCCAGCACGACGTTCGGGGTCCCCGGGTGCAGTCGCTGCTCCCCCAGGGGCTTCGGCCTTCGTCGGGCTCTGGCTTCGGCGCCCGTGTGACGAAAGACTGATCACCAAACGTCCTAGTTTTCCTCGTGCGACTTCACAGACATACCACGCCGCCTGTAAAATGTTCCCGGAGCAGCCCCCAGCTGAACGGGATCTGTTGTCCGATAGTCCGCTGTCTCACTCGTAACGTACCCCTTTTTTTGTAAGGAGCCACCGAAATGAACTCCAAGGGTCTTCGGGGCGTTGTTCCAGCCCCTCATAATAGAAGTACGAAGTCGGCGCAACGGGCGAACATTGGTGACCGTCAGCTTCTTCGTTACGTGCGCATGATAACATAAATCATGTGTTGACACAGTGGGCGATGATAAAAAAAGACAAATATATCGCCACCCGAAGTTAAAATACGGGATGCAATGAAAGCAGCTGTTGCATATTTCAGTGTGTCACTACAGAAACCCCAGGAGGCCCACAAGAGGCCCGAATCAGGCCCCAAGAGCCCCCCAAGAAACACCCGAGAGGCGCCAATCCACCCCCGAAACAGCCTCCAAGAGATCCCCACAGCCATCCAAGGGGCCTCTGACCTACAACCCAGCCGCGGTGGCGTGATGGGCCGAAGGACAATCGATTCGCCGCCCCCTGTGGTCTTGCCACAGGGGTGCACGGCGTGCCAGATGTTAGGTAGTTGTTGGTTATTTTGAAGCTTCTAGTGGGCCTTCAGCCGATCCCGCCGTCCACCTGGAAGGGCGCATAAAAGGTGCCTCCCGTCGGCTTTCTGCCCCACATGGACCGATAAAGATCCCAGGTCGTCGGTCTTCCAGTTCTAGGCGGCGCCAAGATGGCTTCCAAGACGACCAAGATGGTCTCCAAGACGGCCACGATGGCCCCAAGAAAGCCCAAGATAGCCCGAAGATGTCTCCAAGACGGGCCGAGGTGTCCCCAAGAGGACCCAAGATAGCTGGCCTCAAGATTGCCCAAGAGGCCTCCAAGATGGCCCAAGAGGCATACAAGTGGACCTCCAGGAAGTCCCGAATAGGCAAAAGTCAATAATGCCCCTTCGATATGTGAGTGGTGTTGGAGTTTACGCGTCTTCGGCTGTCACGCAGCTCAGGACGGCCCCAGAGGCTACCAAGATGGCCCCAAGAACGTCCAAGAGGCCTCCGAGATGGCTCACTGACGGCCCAAGAGGCCAAACAGATGGCACCCAGAGGGCCCCAAGACGGACCAGGAGACCTCGAAGATGCCCAACACGGCCTCCAAAACGGCTCTGAAGCCAAGAGGGCCCCAAGTCGGCCCAGAGAGGCCCCAAGACGGCGTCCGACGGCATCAGACGGGCCAGGAACACCCTCAGCTGGCCAAAGAACCGCCTAAGGAGCCTCCAAAGGCACACAAGAGGCTTCAGGAAGCTCCCAAAAGGCTCCAAGAGGCCCGTCGAGTGCCCCAAGAGGCTCCCAAGAGGCCTCCTCATCCTCCTTTTTCCTCCCTCTTCTTATCTTCTTCTTTCTCCCCCACGTGTTCCCGAAGGGTTTCCACAACGGCTGGGGGAACACGTAGTCCGATAGCTTAGCTGAGCTCTGGCCGAAACGTTCAGCCACACAGGCGCATCCGAAAAAGCAAGGGGCCGCGGTGATTCGCCGTAGGCGTCTTCGATACATAAACTTATTTCATCCTACTCCTCACCTCATCTTCCGACTTCTTCCGCTGCTGCTGCTCCTGCTCCTCCTCATCCTCCTCATTCTCCCGCCCCCCAGCAGAAGAACACCTGCGACAAATGGAACGTGGGCAAATCGGCCTCCCCTTTCCCTGGTAGCGGCGCCCGAGGCTCTTTGATTTCGTCGTTCGCCGCCCAGGCAACCACCACGCCGTTCATGAGAATTACCAGGGCACAGACGGTGCTGAAAAAGGTACCGCTCACCTGGCCACGTACAGCTCCACGAGAATGTGAAATGAGAGGAGAGGGGGAGGACACGCTGAGAGAAGTGGTGAGGGGGGGGGAACGCTGGGAGAGCGAGGCGGGTGGGGCAGAGCGGGAGTGTGTACGCTGCGAGAGGGAGCGCGGAGAGCGGGAGGGATAGGATAAAGGGTGAACGCTGGGGGGTGGAGTGCCAAAGGAAGGGGAAGGAGGGAGAGAGTGGCGCTGAAACACGGGTGGGAGGCGCTGCGAGAGCTGGATTGGGGGTGTTGGACACCGGGGAGGAGAGAGGGAGGGGATCAGAGGAGAGTGGAAGAGGGTGGCATGCGTCCAGGCTCCCCTGGCAGGTACCCCATGCACACAAAGACACAAAAGGGTTCGGATCTGAGTATGAGGGGCATGCGACGTTTGCAAACTCAGTGCGTCGCATTCACGCCTCGACGGTGACTCTCGCTTCAGCTCGCGCTCGACTCTCCACCCCAGCGGAGGTAGAGGGGCATGGGAGGGATGGAAAGACAAGCAGCATCCATGCACCACGGGCTCGGGTTGGCCTGTGGCGAGCCACGCCGTGGCTTTGGACTAGGGATCAAAGTAGTTTGTTGTGGCTCTGTCTTTGCACCCCCCCCCGAAGCAGCAACAGCAGCGGACGCAACGTGCGAACGTGCGAACCGTCATCGCCCGGAGGCGGCCCATGGCTGGGCGACGGGCGCGCTGCGAGGCGCGCTGGCCCTCAGAGAGGACCGGGAAAAGGCCATAACCGATTCACGAGACAGTGCACATGCATACAGGGGGAGGGGCAGGGGAGGCAAGAAGGAAGCAGCAAGCAAAGATGTGGAATTGAATGGAAAATGGATAGAAAAGAACGGTGCGACTACTCAGTGCCACGTGAACTCCACGTACTCGCTCTCCCTTTTCGTCCATGCTTCTGTGTCTTGGGCTGCAGACACAGGACTCCCAAGATGAAAAGAGTGGTGATAAGCACATACGTAACCAGAGACGCCGATCGTGAGAAATACAAGCACCCAAATACCTAACACAATTGGTACGCGTGATGCGAGCCAAGGGGGCTCTCTCGACAGCAGACACTGCGAAATAATGCATTCTTGGCATGAGAGAGTTTGTAACGGCAATGCGGCCAGGGAGCTCCAATTCTGCTCCGCCCCGCCCTTCGCATTTCTTCCCAGGCCCCACCCTACGGTAGAGCCAGCTGTTGCGCTCGGGCTCCACCAGGTTCATCCACCAATCAATCCAGCTGGAGAATAAGGCATACATAGTCCTGCCGGAGCACTCAGGCTTTTGTGGAGGACGGGAAAGCCTCATATGATCACACTGATCAGGAAAGCCCAGAATCGAATCGATAAGTCGGATCCGCGATCGAAATGAATCGGATCGGCGGAAATCGGCAGCCGAGTCGGGAGGAGTCGAATCGGCTGAAATCGGCGGAGTAGTAAGACCTCATGGGAAATCGGCATCCAAATCGGAGTCTGAAGTCGAATCGATTCGGAGTCGGAATCCATCGAGATCGAATCGAATCGGAGGGATCGAAACGAGTCCTGACTGATTGGAACCCTCCCGCCCAGCAACGGTGCCGTGCGGAGACAAGGTGCCTGGAATGCTGACGGCAGGGGCCTTTCCTGCAGGTCCGAGCAGGGCCTCGCGAGGTCACGGCGAAGAGAAGCCTGGAGAGGCTGCATTCCACAAGGCTGGACTTCTGTCGAAGAGTCTGCAGAAGGCAGGCAGGTTTGTGCTGACGTCCAAACTCGAGAGATCGAGCAACTTCGGCGCACACAGGAGAAGCAACTTCATGGCAGCAGCAACGCTGATCTTGAACATAACATGTGCAGTCACACAATATATGTGACTCTTTGGCACATGGCCCCCGCTCCCCAGCAACCGCCCACATGTTCTTGGACCCCGAAACAAGTTCTTCACCAGCAATAGGGCACCTGCCATCCCATGGAAAGGAGACAAACTCTATACACCGACGCTTTTTCCGGCCCTCCACTGACACTTGCACAGAAAAGCGGATCCTGGTGTAGACAGAATCCTGCTGTGTACATTTTTGGCTGGTTCCCCGGGGAACGGAACAAAAAAAGTATACACCACACTGCCCCGACGTCGACCACGACCTTCAAAAAGTCCTGGGATTAAAGAACAGCCCGCCACCGGAAATGTATATGTTCCAGCTTTCGATCTTGGACCCCGAGACGATTGCTTCACCAGCAGCAGGGCACCAGCCACCCCGTGGGGCACCCGCCACAGGGCACCCCCACCATGCAGCACCAGCAGCAGGGAGCTCGAACGGGAGCCCGAGATCGTGGCAGCTGGGGGCATCAGAGGAATCCGTCTGACAGCCCTCCCCGAGATCAAGCGCAAGTTTTGTGTACAGCGCCCTCGCCCCCGAAGTTCGAATGCCGACGGGCGCGCTCAGCGCGGCCCGCGGGGGGCAACAAGAAGATGGCAGTCGCCAGCCTCGGCGTCAACACTGAAATCGGGGGGTCGCCACGTCGTTGGAAAAACTTGCGCTGGATGTCGAGGGGGGATCCAAGGCGCCGGCCAGGGGGCAACGGGGCTGGGAACATGCATCGCGACAACTGGGGCAGCACAGGGCAACAACCATGGGGTTACTCTTGGGTCGGGCGTGTCCCCCTACAGGCGGATATTGAACGAAATCCAAAAAGTAAAAAATACCCCACAAATGCTCAAACATATGCAAAGATTGTCCCCTGACTATTTTCTGGCTATTGTTGAATATGTTCCTCCTGTAGAGGGATAGGCCCGACTTTGGGTACCCCAGGCTGGAACCATCGATGGCGACCGCTGGGCACCACGGGGCACCAGGCATACAGCGCCGGCCACAGTGCACCAGGGCGGGAACCAACAAGCGCGACGTCCAGTCCCAACTCCGTTCGAACAGAAGACTTCAGTGCAAGCGCTGGTTTGACGATCCCACAGCAAGCACGTGCGCGGCCGGCCACCTTGCGTGAACACGGGCCCCGCGAGGCCAGCCTCGTGTGACGACCGTCCGCGCAACGCGCACTTTCGAAACCGACGCGCGGATTCCTGCACGGCCGGGGAGGCACGCGGTGCCCTCACCTTCCGCCCGCGCGGGCGGCAGAGCACCGAGGCCGCGGCGCGGAGGCGAGGGCCCCACCCCGAGCAGGGCTCGTGGCCGGCGCATGGGGCGAGAGCGCCCTGCTCAGCTGGGCGAGGGCACCCTCTCAGCTGGGCGGGGGCGAGAACGCGACGCGCCCTGCAGCGCGAAGGCGTGCGGCTCGCTTGGGACTGGCAGCTGTCGCTCAGGAGGGAGCAGGTCTCCTCCTCGCTCTCTCTCTTTCGGAGGAGGGAGGGGCAGGAGGAGGAGGAGGCGACGGAGGATTGAGAGATTCAGAAGGGAAGAGATACAGTTGGCACTGATTCGTAGGTCGATCCTGCCAAATCAAGGGTGCCACCTTGTGCCCTGTGCCTCGCGACCTATGCCTCCTGCATTCCTGTGGCAGTGTGGCGCTCGGAAAGGGTCTTGTGTCCTCTCGCGTGTCCTGTCCAATCGAGTCCGACTGTGCCGCAAGTCCTCAGCAACCCGCGGGCCGAACGAGGGACGCCCGCGCGTGAGCCCGGATCGCCGACCCCCCGGGCAGGACACGGAGGTGCGTGAGCCGCCGCCTGCCCCGGAGAGCCCCCTCTCCCCCGGAGGTCTTGGTCTTGGTGGCCCGATGGTGGGCTCTCGGAGCGCCCCCCGAGCTCGCCACACGCCCACGCCGAGCTTCTTCTTAATCAACCGGGGGGTGACAAACGTGAAAACGCGGCGCGGGGGTGACAAGGGTGAAAAAACGCGGCGCGGCCAACCCCCCCCAGGCACCACCCCCGCGCCCCAGCGGGGAAGGGAGCAAACCCCAGACCCCCCCTGGCAACCCCGCGGACGCGCCGCGGCCAACCCCCCAGGCACTCCAGGGGGGGGGGGGGGGGGGGCGATTATTAAGCGATCCAGATCGATCCAGAATAGACTCTGCGCGCAACCTGTGCGCGGGCTTAGGATTGCCAGCCTTCTCAGCTCCGCACAGCTCGCCTGCCCGTCTGCGTCAGTGCTTCGCGCGCCTGTCGCAGCGCAGGCAGGGCCTCGTCGCAACGTCAAGCAGACCCCTGGCCGACTCGACCCTGAAATGCACGGCAAGCTGCTCAGCCTGATCGCACAATTTACGACGTGCGCGCGTACATTGTCACAACGCGAACGCGTCGCACAGAACACGGCAAGGTCCGAGGAAGTTCCGGATTTGGGTGACGCTAGTCCTGGGAGCCTTCCCTCGACAAGCAGCGCTGGGAGACCTCCGCCCTCTCGCTTCGTGCCCGCTGCTGCTGTGGACGTGCGCTCCTGAGACCACGATCCCTTGTAAGAGCTATGGGCCCGTGCTCGTGCAGCCGCGACCCGTTGGAAACAAAGACTACGGAGGAGGAAGAGGAGGAGGAGGAGATGGAGGAGGAGGAGGAGGAGGAGGAGGAGGAGGAGGAGGAGGAGGACAGAGGAGAGGAGGAGAGGAGGGAGGAGGGAGGGAGGGAGGGAGGGAGGAGGAGGAGGAGGAGGAGGAGGAGGAGGAGGAACCTATGTAAAAATCGGGCCCCATATCCCTGCCCGACTCCATGACTTGCTTCTCTGGACACGTCCATCCGTAGTCGCGACCGCTCCACAGGAGGCCCGATCATCGGACACTGGGGCGCCACGGGAGGCTCAAATGTACATTAACGTCCGCAACGTCGATGCCTGACAAGACGAAGCAACCCGGCAAAAACAAGCTCGAGGAACAAAAACCAACTGGAACACCGAAGCCTGGAGACGGCATACACAAACACTTCACCCGCCCACCCCCACCCCACCTGGCGCGCCAGCAGCGGGGACAGGAGCGGGGACGCTGCCACCCAGCGAACGCAGCTCAAACCGACCGCGGCTGCTGCTGGGCAAGCAGCGCTCGTCGCAACCGAAAGGCCGTCCACGGCGATACGGTCTGCGAACCCTGTGCTCACTTGCCCGGCGCTGATGTGCCGTGTAGGCCCTCGTCCCCGCTGCTTCCGCCACCTCCCCGGCCCCCTCCGACCCGTTCGCGACTGCTCCATCGGCCTGCCTGTGGCTCGCTTCCGGTCTCCGCCCGTCTGCCTGGCGCGGTGGCGCGCGCCAGGTCTTCGGAGAGGCTCCGGCGCTCGCTGCAGCGCCTGGCCAAGAGCGCTGCCGCGTCGGGCAACCGCGAGTGCACCGGATTTTCTGTCCAGGCCGACGTCGCCGAAGAACATCATTCATCGTGCGAGCTCTCGAACCGTCGAGCGCTGTGTCACAGGAAGACCGTTCGCCATCGCTCGCACGACCCCTCCCCGTGCAGTCGTCCGTCTCCTGCGCTGGTGATCCGCGGGGCGACCAAGGCTGCTCCTCGATGGCCCTCGCCGAGACACGTGCGCGCATCCGAGCGACGCCGAGAGACAAGGCGGCGCCTCCCCACCCTCGACCCGTCTCGATGGCCCTCGCCGAAGCAGAAGCACGCGCCCGAGCGACGCCGAGAGGCAAGGCGGCGCCTCCTCACCCTCGACCCGTGCTCCATCTTCAGGTGGAAGTGGACCATCGACTTCGAGGGCGACGTGTTGTCGGGGCGCTCCCCCCGGGAGCGACCCGAGCCGCCCTCGAGCCTCCCGCGGCGCAGCGCAGCGCCCCACGGCCACGTCCCTGCCGTCGTCGACGCCGGGCTCGTCGCCATCGTCGTTGTTAGCCTCCTCCTCCTCCTCCTCCTCGTCGTCGTCGTCGTCGTCATCGTCGTCGTCGTCGACGCCGTCGTCGTCGTCGTCGCTGCTTCCCGCCGTCGTCACCGTCGTCGTCGCCATCTTTACTGTCGTCATCCTCCTTGCCGCCGCCGTCGCCGCCGCCGCCGCCGTCGTCGTCGCCGACCGCCGAGCCGTCGAGGACCGGTAGGAGCGGCCAAGGCCGGGGCGGCGCGGGAGGCCGCGCGGAGGGGCGCCCCGACCACCACCGGTAGGGGGCCCTCCTCCTCCTCCTCCTCCTCCTCCTCCTCCTCCTCCTCCTCCTCCTCCTCCTCCTCCTCCTCCTCCTACTCCTCCTCCTCCTCACTCCCTCCTCCTCCTCCTCCTCCTCCTCCTCCTCCTCCTCCTCCTCCTCCTCCTCCTCCTCCTCCTCCTCCTCCTCCTCCTCCTCCTCCTCCTCCTCTCCTCCTCCTCCTCCTCCTCCTCCTCCCTCCTCCTCCTCCTCCTCCTCCTCCTCCTCCTCCTCCTCCTCCTCTCCTCCCTCCTCCTCCTCCTCCTCCTCCTCCTCCTCCTCCTCCTCCTCCTCCTCCTCCTCCTCCTCCTCCTCCTCCTCCTCCTCCTCCTCCTCCTCCTCCTCCTCCTCCTCCTCCTCCTCCTGCCCCCGGAGGCCGCGCGGGGGGGCGCCCCGACCACCACCGGACGCTGCAACACCAGCCGGTGCCGGGGCGGCCCGGGAGGCCGCGCGGGGCGGCGGCCCCGCAAGCGCGGAGCAGGCAGACGCCGGCAGCATCGGCGAATCGACGAGCGCGGTGTCCACTACTCGCAGAGCAGCTATTCGCCAATGGCCTGGATCCCCCGCCGGGGATCTGCGATAAGTTACGTCAGGGCAGACAGGTGTCTTTTGGTATGTTTGCGAGTAGGCACTCTGCGAGTAGTGGAACGCGCTCGGCGAGCGAGGGCTGGGGCGGCCCGAGGAGCAGCATCGCAGGGGGCGGCCCTGCAGCCGCCGAGCTGGCAAAGACCCCGACGGCACCGGCCAAGGCCGGGGGGCCGGGCCCAGAGGCCGCGCGCGGGGGCCAGCCCGACACCCGCAGGGCCATCAAAGACCTACAGAAGCAGCCGAGGCGGAGGCAGCCCGAGAGGCCGCGCGGGCGGGGGGGCGGCCGACGGGGGACGCGAGGCGGCCAGACCGACCGACCGACAGCCAAAGACAGCTTGACGCAGGGAACCTGACAGAAGAGGGCAAGCAGGAGGGGCACACGGGAGAGGAGTCGCGAAGGCCGGCTGCGGAGAAACAGGACCGCTGACTAGAGAAGCTCGGCCTCCGCGATCGCATGTCGGCATACCATCGGAGTAGAATAAACGTGCGCGGACACTGGCAAGCACTGGTCATCGAGCAGGCGCTCCGCCAACGCATGATCGCAGAGCAGGAGAACGAAGCCCCGGCGCGCGCGCGCGCACGGGGATACGTCGGAATAAGCAGCCATGCTCGTAGACTGAGCAACATCATCTCTAGCGCGCACGCGCAAGCCATGTACTACAAACCTCCATGCACCATCCGTTCGATGATGCACTGCTTTCTCCATGGTTGCTCCACGGCTGCTCCGAACGTGCTCTATACTTACTCCATGATTGCTCCATGCTTGCTCGAAGGGTGCTCCATTCTTGCTCCATTCTTGCTCCGTCGTTGCTCCATTGTTGCTGCATTGTTGCCCCAGCGTTGCTCTCTTATTGCTCCATGGTTGCTCCATCCTTGCTCCAGTACTACCCCATTCTTAGTCCATGCTTGCTCAATTCATGCTCCTGGAACTGTGATGAGCATCACGTAAAAGTAAACTGTTCTCCAAAGACGCGCTGGTACGCGCTCAGAGCTAACGTTGAACTTCTTCACATCCTTGCCCTCCTGCTCGTCTCACCATATTCGACTCCTCATTCCCTCCTGTATCCCTCCCGCCTCCCTCCCCCCGCACCTCCACCTCGACCTCCTCGTCATCAATCCCCAGTTCATCCAGGAGGAACCCGCTGTTCTGCCTCATCTGCTTGATCCTCAAGGGCAGCGGCGTCGTCGCGCCATCGCCCTGCGGTGCGCCATCGCTTCGCGGGTCCTGTCGTCTCTCCTCCTCCCCATCACCAGGAAAGCTGCACGGCAAGCTCGTGTCGTGACGGCCGGCGTTGGTTGCCAACACCGCGCGGATCTTTCAACCTTGAACGATCGGCGGCGCTTCGAGCGCCAGATCGTTCCACATTGGCCGACTCTGGGCCACTGGCGGCGTCCAAGCTTGAACGCCGCGACGCGAACCTGCTGTACGAACGAGGACGGGAACAACGAACCGGTGGCTGGAGCCGTCCGAGAAGCATCGGGTCGGGCATGTCCTCCTACAGGCGGATTTCAAAAGAAAAACGGAACATGGTCCAACAAATATCCCAACATATATATTCAAAAATGATGGAAGAAATCGCCCCCAGACTGTTTTTTATGACTAATTTTGAGTACTCCTCCTGTAGAGGGACGTGCCCGACGGAAGAGAAGCAGCAGCGCCCCCTTCGGGGTGGAGAGAGGCCCCGCCCAGGGGGCGCGGCCGCCCACCCCGCCCCAGTGGGGCCCGCAGCGGGCTGCCGGCGCGAACGCATCCCGGTCGCAGAGGCACAGACGAAGGCTGCGCCGAAGCGCTGCCGGCATGCGATACGGGACAGCTTTTAATACACAGGATTTTGAAAGATATCGGAATTGTTTAATACATTAAATTCGCCGGCCCAACGGGCCAGAGGCGTGCTAAGATCTCCGGTAACTGGTTAACAATTCTCTAGTTCGCGCGCGCGGGGCGGCCCCTGGGGGTCCCCGGACGAAAAGTACCCCGGGGGATCCCCGACCGATCCCCGGGAGACTCCCCCAGAGCGCTCCAGGAGCGCTCCAGGAGCGCACCAACAGGGCTCCGAGACGTCCCCGAGAGCCCCAAGAAAGGCCAAGAGGCCCCCAAGAGGCCCCCAAGATGGTACACGAGGGGTCCGACATGCCACAAGATCGCTCCAAGACGCCCAAGATAGCCCCCAGACGCCCCAAGAGGCCTCCAAGAGCACTCCCAAGAGGGCCCCCGGAGGCAAAATTCATTGTTTTTCCTTAGGTTTTTGAGAGATTTTGGAGCTTCCACCTTTTCGGCTTCCCGACGCCCCAAGACGGCCCAAGAGGCCCCCAAGATCGCCCCAAGAGGGCCCAAGAGGCCCCCAAGAGGGCCCCAAGATGGCCCAAGAGGGCTCGAAGACGGCCCAAGAAGCCTCCAAGACGGTCCAAGAGGGCCCCAAGAACGCCCCCAAAGGGGCCCCAGAGAGGGAACACGAAACAACATTTCGAGCCCTCGGCCCTAAGAAGCCCCTACGAGGCCCCAAGAGGCCCCTAAGAGGCCCCAAGAGGCCCCCACGAGGCCCTCAGGAGGCCCCCAAGAGTCCCCCAAGCGGCCCCAGGAGGCCCCCCAAATGCCCCCCCGAGCGCCCCAGGAGTCCCCCAAGCGGCCCCAGGAACCCCCAAAGCGCCGCATTGACACCAGGCCCTCGGGCAAACAGCAGACATGAGACTGTATGGGCCAGCGGAATGAGCGAAGCGATTAAATAAATTGATGCACGAACTCATGGTTGTTTTTAATACTGAATCCCTGCATTTTGAATACATGATCCGCACGCGGAGCATGTAAAAAAACGGCACTGCGCGGTGAGGGCACGCGGCGCCGTCCGCACCTTGCCTCGGCGGGTCCGAGCTCCGTGGCTGCCTGCACGCCCTCCTGTGCTCAGTCGCGCTCTGGCTCTATTCTGGACCCTGCGCAGGCCCGAGGAAAGCTCCCTTCCGATGTGGCATCACTTTCTATTAGAGGACCACTTCGTGAAATATTCACCTGCTCGTGATAAGTACGTATACTACATTCGAGAGTTGACGGGTCACTAGTGGCTCGCTGTTACGCCGCAAAGCCTTCCGATGTGGCATCACCGGATTAGGAATCCGGGGTCTGGGAGCTAGTGGGATACCAACCGTGGAAAGCCATGGGTACCACCGCCGACCTCATCAGGTAAGGACTCCTCCAGGGTCTGGAGCTCCCCGGTCACATTCCTCAACGGACGCCCCCATCGTAACCCAAGGAGAAAAAAACACCATAAACATAAACTTTTGGCGCTCCGCG